ATGCTTTACATCAACACAAAAATTAGTTGTTACATGAAAGGAATTTATATTATTCAAAATATTATTTTGGCTAATCCCGATTTTATGCAAAATTATTTGTTTCTATATCTTGTACATAATTATCAACATTACGTAGTAATGTTTCATCTTCTTCACCTAACGTATGTGTCAGTGTTTTGTGGGCCTTGCAAAATCTACAAAAATAGTTGGAAGAAAACAATTTACTGAAACCGCAAATGCCTGTAAGTCCTAAATTGTCTCCAATTATCAGACCAAGAATAAAATACCTACACTTTTTTTACAACCATCAGGAGCGTGGATTATAATCCCATCTTTTTCTAATGAATTTAATTCATCAATTAACTCTTTAAAACATAAGTCATTTCCGTATGATTATATATCATTAGATTTTATAAGAGATGCTAAAAAAATATTTGTAAGTTTTGAACTATTTTCACTCAAAGGGAAACTACAATACACTGCAGAAATAGCATGGTATGTAGACTTAGATCCTAATGGGTTATTTGTTTCAAAATCGTCAATATACATAAAAAAAACATTACTATTTTATTTTGGTGTGGGATTAATTTTTTTTTTCCACAAAGACCCTTGAATAAAATTTGACATTGAACAATTATCATTTGAAACTGGATAATTAATTAAATAATTATAACGTTTTATAGCCAAATTAAGATTATTGTTTAGTTCAAAATATTTTTTAAATTAGAATTTGAGTGGCATTATAATTGCCTTTGTACTTATTTCATCAAATACTGTTTGACCATTGTGGAATAATAAATTTACTTCATTTTTCATTGTAAATTGTTTACATGTATCAGTTAAAAGATCATTGGTTGTCAAACACTTGTTTAAATATTCTGTTCTACATAGATTGAAAGAATCTGAAATTGCTGAAGTAACTTTTGAAAATTTTGATAAAATTAAATGGCCAGTAATTTCACTTTTCATTATACCTTGTAATAATGATATAATAGGCTTAATTATTTTTTTCTCAATATCATTTTGGATATTTTTAACATAATTTAAGCAAAAGTTATTATTGTTGTGTAATGATAAGGAAAATTTGACCGCAAACAAATGTAACTGTTCAATACTCTTATTAATATCAAATATTTTTTTATTAGATATTTCAGATGTTTCAGATTCATTAATTATACAAAGGATAGGATATTCTTGGTTAATATTGTCATCACTACATACTATTTCTAAATCAAAATTATTACCATTATTATTAATTGTAAATTCATTAGAAGCAACGGTTTCATCAGTATTATTTTCAAATTTAAGTTTTAATAGGACATGTTTTTTAAAACTACTCAATGTCTGAAAAGATTGCAAACAATTATTTTCTATAGATGTGTAAGAGCTATGAGGTCCTTGCAAATGTATAATTTTGTAATGGGCGATGAGCGAAAGCAATGTAGGTGTACTTACGTAACATATAAAACATATCATTTTAGTACCTAGTAGATTGTTTAGTGTAATAAAAAAATGCTATTCTTCTTAATCAATAAAATGTAAAAGATATCTACTGGGTAACAATTATCTATGATATTAACTATTAAGCACTAAAATTATACTTACCAGTTGTGTTGACAGTTAAAAACGGAATAAACCGAAGTACCTTGGTAGGTTCCCTCAAAACGAGCAGAAAAATCAAGTTGGTCGACAGTTGAATATAATATTTTGAATTTTATTTATACAATTATAACTTATAGTCTTACACATTATGGTAAACACACGAGATAGACAAATGCAAAAAAACGAAATAACTTATAATATAACGAAAACAGTTTTATGACTATAGTCGTTACAATACGCGTCGATAATCGAGATGCGTAATGATAGCACATAATAATGCTAGTAAATAATCACTTTTGTTGGGAAAAATTGTTTTCCAATTTAAAAATAGACTAGTCACGTTATATATTTTTCAATTTTAACAAATATATACTGTTAATTTAGCAAAACATTGTTAATTTAACAACTATGATTTTATCAATTATCAATAAAATTGTTTTGTTAATATGAATGATGAAATTTCGTTCTGTGCAAGTTTTGTGGTAAGAATGCAAAAAGAAGTTATAGATTTAGCTACAGATAATTTCTAAACCCAAAAGAAAGCACTCAATATGGATTGGAGGCGACGATAACAATGCAAACATACCCGGTCGGTCGCACACGGAGGCTTATCACTGTCGCCGACGATGGCTGCGGATACGCAACGCACCGATACGCATCGCACAAAAATGATAAAATGAACAAAATTACAAATAACAATATTATTGCGAACATTCTCTCCCCCCCCCCCTTGAAAGGATACAGGCCTTTCAAAGGTAGACATGATACATAGACATACAAAATAGAAAATTAAACAACACAATTTCTATAGTAAATAAAATCAGTACAAGAGAACAGATAATACATTTTAAAATAAAGAATGACAGAAAATGGTTAGGCAGCATCCTCTTCCTCTTCGACACTTGGCAAAATTGTAATTACGAGTTAGCAACAGTGACCACATGAACAACTCCATCATTTCCTGGATGGACCTTGATTATTCTGTCCATTTTCCACTTCATCGATGGCATATTATACTAAAAAAATTAGGCCGTTAGATTTTCAAATATCTTTGGATGATTAGTTTCCAGTCCATTTGTGTCAACAAATATTTCCGCACGTCATCGTAAGCTGTCAAATTTAATTTTTATTTGCATCTCAATTGGGTAAGTAAAAGTCATTATTTAATCTATATAATATATATTATAAATTATAATATGTTTAAAAAATTTAAAATTATAAGCTTAGCAGTTATGCATTTTTCTAGACATTTTTTTGTATTAATTTTATTTTCTTATTTTAATAATTGTAATTCATTGTTATTTTTTTTAATTATAATTTTCATGTTCTTATTTTGTTAAGGTAATGGTTGATAGTGATAACATATATATGTACATAACTATCGACCATTCATTATCTAATTGTTTTTTATGTAATTTAAAATAAATAAAAATGTATCTATTCAAAAACGTATGTTGCACAGTTTTTAAAAATATAACTGACTAAATAACAAAATATTTTCTCTGGGTAACATTTGTGATGTCTAGTTCATTTATTCGAAAAATGCACTGCACAAATTGTACATTTTACCAGAGGCGGACTGGCCACGGGAGTTAGTGAGATTTATCTCCTTGGGCCCCTCATAGTTACAAATACTAAAAAAAAAAGCCAATACAATCCAAATAATATTATAATATTAGGAAAATTACATTAACATAAATAATATGAAAATACGTAATTAATTACTTCCAACTTTATTATTGTTCGGAAATATAAAAATAAATAAGAAAATGTGGTTTGTGTAGCTATTTCGGTCAACAGTATAGAATGCGATAATAAAGTTTTATTTAGAAATCATATAACAACATGTTTCATAGTTTCTTTGTCATCGTTATCACCATTTGAACGATATATAGCAGGCATGTCAAACACGCGGCCTGCGGCGACTTATTTTTTTTGTGGCCCTTGGCTAGTAATATTAATGGATAAAATAAAAAAAGAATAATAAAAAAAAAATTATAAAATATTAATCATGTGTTTCAACTAACATAGATTCTTTGATAATGGTATACATTTTGGTATACATTATTATGTTTTAGCTTCTGATAAACTTTAATCTAATTTCATATGTACAAATAATAAATATATATATATAGATTATAGAATATAGATTAATAATTTATATCGTCTGTACGCGACATGCGTGCCTTTGGAAAATAGTCGTTCGACAACCAGCGTGTGTTCAAGTTTAAATTTTGTTGCGTGCAAATTTACAATTTAAAAATGTCCGTATTAAAACCAAGTGGTAGTTATAAACGTAAAATTACCGATGAACATCGTCAATTTCATGAACATTGGGAATTACAATATTTTTGTAGTGAAATCAATAATAAAATAATTTGTTTAATTTGTAAAAGTGTTATTAGTGTTCTAAAGTTATACAATATTAAGCGACATTACGAACAACATAAGTCAAAATACGACCACTATGAAGGGTTATTAAGACAAGAAAAACTGAAAGAACTTAAATCAGGATATAAACACCAACAATTAATGTTCCACAAAATACCACAAGAAAATGAAGATGCAGTAAAGGTTAGTTATGTGTTGTCAGAGTTAATTGCAAAACATTCGAAACCATAATAATAAAACCGAAGGTGATTTTATTAAAACGTGTTTGATTAAAACGGCTGAAATTATTTGTCCCGGGAATCTAAAAGCTTTTCAAAACATTTCATTAACACGAAATACGGTTGCTGAAAGAATAACTGAACTAGCATGCAATTTGAGTGATCAGATAAAAATCAAAATACCTAGTTTCGAGTATTTTTCAATTGCTTTTGATGAAAGTACCGATATTGGTGGCACAGCTCAGTTAGCTGTGTTCATTCGAGCTTGCGATATGGAATTAAATATTTATGAAGAGTTATTGGAAATTAAACCTATGTATGATACTACTACAGGAGAGGATGTATTCGTTTCTGTTTGTGAACTCTTAAAAAAAATATGATTTACCTTTGGTAAAGTTATCGTCTGTGGCTACAGATGGAGCTCCTTCTATGACAGGAAAAAATAAAGGTTACATTGAAAGGTTACGAAAAAAAGTGAATGAAAATTTTGAGCATACATTTCATAGGACACATTGTATTATACATCAAGAGATGTTATGCACAAAAGTTATTAATATGGCACATGTAATGAAACCGGTAAAACAAATGGTCAATTTTATAAGATCTCGTGGTTTAAACCAAAGACAATTTTTGATTTTTTTAAACGATTTAGAAAGCGAGTATTCAGATTTACCATACTTTACAGAAGTACGTTGTTCCACTGTATTAGAATGATTCTGGAAGTTAAAAGATGCAATACAAATATTTTTAGAGTCTAAAGAACAAGACGTCAGCACTTTGTCGGATACAATGTGGTTACAAGACCTATCCTTTATGGTCGATATAACGAAGCACTTGTCAAATTTAAATTTAAAATTACAAGGAAAAGATCAAATTATAACAGCTATTAATGACCATATTAAGGTTTTCAAATGTAAATTAGATTTATGGGAAACACAGTTACAGAATGAAAATTTAACGCATTTCCTAACATGTATGATGTATAAAACAAGTTATTATGAACCAATTTTTTACAAAAAATATTCAGAACAAATTATATGGTTGAAGACTGAATTCGGAAATAGATTTCAAGATTTCAAATATTTAGAAAACGATTTTGAATTGTTCACATCTCCTTTTTCAATAGACGCAGTAAAAGTTCCAGCACATATACAAATGGAACTGATTGAGATTCAAAATGATTCAAATTTAAAACGTAAATTCAATGAGGTTGGTGTACCGGAATTTTACAATTTTTTGCCTGTAAGGTACGTAGAAACTCGCAGATTTGCTTGTAAAATTAAGTCTATGTTTAGTAGTACTTATCTATGTGAGCAACTATTCTCATTGATGAATAGCAATAAATCACCCGTTAGATCCAGATTAACTGACATATATCTAAATTCAGTTTTAAAAGTGGCTTCATCCAATATTTCAAATTAAATAGTAATGCAAATGTAACTCAGAAATTAGATTTTATAAAAAAACATCCAATCCAACCTACTCAGACCAAAAACATAAATTTTGATTTTAATAAAATTTATTATAGAACTGTCTCTGGAAAAAGATACATAGAAGTTGGTTACCTATTTTAGTGGAGGATAATAATTTTAGGGCAATGTTTTGTCTAATTTGTATAGCATTTGGTTCTGAATTAAGTAATTTTTCAAATAGTGATGGTTGTACAATTTTAAAATCTATGTACTCGGCTATTGAACGACATGAAAAGTCTACTCTACATATGAATGCAGTTGAAGGATATTTCCATGCTTCAAAAGAAATGTCCATGGAGTATCTTGTTAATAAAAACATGATGGCAATAAAGAAAAAAGAAGTGGAAAACAATTGTTCATGTACTCAAAGTAATTTTTGAAATTATAAAGTTTCTTGGTCGTCAAAACTTATCATATAGAGGATCTGCTTCCAATTAAAAATTATCCAATTTTGATGATATCACACTAAATAAGAGTAATTTTTTAGAGATGATCCAATTTACAGCCAAAACAGATGCAGTATTGTATGAACATTTGCGACGAGCTATTAAAAACAGTAAGATTAGAAAACAAAATTTAGAAAATGGAAATAAAATGCATTAAAAAGGAAGGGGCTCGTTGGTTACATTATTATCTAAATCAACTGTTGATAAAGTAATATTGGGAATAATGAGGGCAATGAGAAATAAAATTAAAAACGAAATAGGTGAACAAAAATTTAGTATTGAAATGGATAGCACTCAAGATGTTGGTGCAATGGATCAAGCTTCAATTTGTGTTCGTTATATTTTTAATGGTGATATAAAAGAATTAATTTTTGCAATAGTCCAAGTGAAAAATTCTAAAGGTAAAGAGTTATATGAATTACTTATATTTTTAGGATGGATATTGTCGCGGACCAACTGGTGACACGACGCACAATAATAATAATAATAATAATAAACACCGACACGATAGATGTGTGATGGTAAGGGCTAAGGAGCCGTATATTTTACAAAAAACGATCACACGAATAATAATAATTAAATAGTCAACAATGTCAGGCGCGATGTAATGACACACCGAAATGTAATAATAATAAAAGAGAAACAAAATCGTCTTGTGGTTTTTAGATGCTAAATGATATGCGGATAGTATACAAAAAGAACGAAGGCGATGTGACCGGACGAGAAGTTGACGAACAGTCCGTCGTTCCGACGACACTTGCCTTCGGCGGTGCCGATGCCCCGCTCTCCCCGTTCCTTAAGGAAGGTGCGGGGTGCGACGCGTCGGTATCGTGATCCGCGAACTATCGGCTGATTAGGAGACTATATTAGGAGACCGTATAAATACGGTCGGCAGCGTCCGTTGTGGTGAACGGTCATCGCCGGGTCCGCGTCAATATTTATGGACTTATATTTAGTAATGTCATCGGTGAGTCATTTGATGGAGCAAATAATGAGTAGTGAATTTTCGGGTCTACATCATATATATATTCTCAAAATGAGAAATAAACCATATGTGCTATAGTCATATTTTAAATTTATGTATAGTTGATATATGCAAAAATATTAATTCAAAAACCTTTTTTTGGACTTTAAAACCGTCTGGCAACATTTTTTAGCAGTTCTTATAAAAGAATGAATATTTGGAAAAGAGAAAATACTAAAAATATCAATATTGGAATAGATAAACTAAGAAAATTACATAAGGTGGCTGAAAACAATACAAGATGGTGGTCAAGGCACAAGGCATTAGAGTGGATATTTAAAGGGGAAAATTGTTTATTTCCTACATTTAAAAGTGTGTTATTTTATATTTCAACAGATTATTCATTTAACAATAATACTACATCTGAAGCCAATTCTTTATTAAAAAATATGTGTGAATTTAAAAATATACTTACTACTCATATATTTTTAGAAATTTTCAAATATGTAAGACCCACTTCTGATTATTTACAGATAAAACAATTGGATTTTATTTCAACTTGTAGAATGGTGGAAAATACCATAAAAGATATTAAACAAAGTGCATTTAAAAATATTATAAAAAGAACAAAACAGTTTGCTGTTGATATAAATGACAATCTATTCAACTTGGAAATACCAGAAAATGTATTTGTAAAAGATAAATTTCAAGAAAGCCGACGAGTAAAAAAGAAAAGGAAACAGTTTGATGAGAATACTGAAGATGAATCATTTACACAACCAATTGATAAATTTAGAGTTCAAACATTTCAACAAATATTTGATCAATTAAACATGAGTTTTAAAGAAAGATTTTCAGCTAATAAAGAATTAATTGCCGATGCACAATTATTTGAATGGTTATTTAAAAGAAAGTTTTCCAAAAAATGGATTACAAAAATTGGCAAGTTTTATTAATATTCCTCGTAATATATTAGTTGAAGAACTTATAGCGTTTGCTAAAATATATCCATCAATGATTCAAACCATTCCAGAAAAAACTAAAACTATTTATAATGATAATTATTTGAGTGATGATGATTTTTACACTGCTGAAGATAATAAAAATCAAAACAATTGTTCTGGTTGTTTAAATTGCTGTTTCAAATTGCTATATAAATTCAACTTGCATTCTGTTGCTTATACAAATTTATTTTTAGCATATGAATATATTTTTAATTTTATCATTTACACAAGTAAACTGTGAAAGAAGCTTCAACTAATTAAAAACAGATTACGTTCTTCTATTGAACAAGAAAAAATTAGAAGCATTTATGTTGATGAATATTGAAAAAGAACTTCTAGAAGATGTAGATTTTAATGAAATACTAAATGAAGTAAAAGAAAGTTCTAAATTGATGAAAAATATTTTATGTTAAAAATAAATATTAATGTTGAATAAAAATTAATTAATAAATTATTTTTAAATGTTATTATTTGTTATTTTTATAATTAGTTGAGTATAGGTTACTTATATATGTATAAAATTACATTTACATGTTTTATTGTATGAATAAACAAAATTAGGGCTGATTACTTTGACTATTCTCCCTGGGCCGATTGTTCCCCAGTTCGCCTCTGCAGTTTACCATAACTACTGATAATTATCAGTTAACAAGCTCGCCGACCAGGAGTTAAAAAAATAAATACTATATTTCATAGTACCTAGGTACTTCAACACATCTAATGTCATCGTGATGAAGACCTATGAGTACAAACTGTCTGAGCATATTTAGAATTCAGATGTATAATATCATTATTTCAATAGAAAATATCTATTACCTTGAAATTTAATTTTTCTTCCGTAATTGTGAACATAATTTACAATTGGTCATCATTTATAGTTATCCTTTATTTTTACTAAATTAGTTTTATAAAATTATTACTTACTCTAGAGTAATTACATTTTCCAAGTATGTATGTATAAATAGAAATATTTTTACATAGTTTCAATATATGAGATATAGTAGATGAGTGATTTATTCGACCAAAATAACGTAATAGTAGTAGACAGCGGATCAAATATGGGCAAAGTCGGTCTTGCCAAACAGGAAAGGCCTTATACTGTGTTCCCGACTGTAAGTACCTGTAACAGATGATCTTATCAGTACTACGCAACATTAAGTAAAATTACTTATATTTTTATTCCTCATTATAGAAAGAACTTGCGTTTGATCAAGAAGGAAGCTTTGTAGCAGATGATGTTAAAGCAATGAGAGATTTTCTCGACTTGAAATACACTGTTGAACGAGGTATTGTGAACAATTGGGATGATATGGATAAGATTTTGAAATACACTATCGAGAAACAATTGAAAGCAAACCTAATACATGTATACCCAATACAACACCCAATACTGATAACTGAAAGTCCATCGTATCATAGAGCTAATCGTGAAAAGATGACCGAGGAAAATAATAATATTAAGAAGGTACTTTTTTCCCGCACGGTGGGATTCTGTATACCACACCTCGAAAATCGCATTTCCGTTATAAGGGACGAAAAATAAATCACTTTTTGAAATATTTTTTGCCTGTAAGTCAAAATAAATTTGCACCAATACTTAAAATATATGGGTTTAATAGCCTGTTAGACATATTGTTTTCTTAGTATATAACGGCTATCATATAATTTTAAATTATCATTACCAGGTTCTTGGCAATTTTTTTTTTTTATCAAGTAGTCGTTCATTATTATTTTTTTCTAATATCCTCGTATAAACAGTGTTTCCCAACGTGTGCGCTTCCACCCCCTTGTGGTCATTTTTATTTTGAAGGGGGCGTTTTTAAGAGGGGGCTCTAAAGGGGGCGCTCATCTATCATTTACATTTTTTTTTTTGTTTATAACTGATTGTAATGAAATGTATAACTGCGTAGAATAAAATACCTAATGTAATACACAGAATTATGTAGGTATAATATTTATAGATACTTAAATAATATCAAAATAATTATCTTATCGGACTATAGATGCTAGGTACTAGGCAGGTACTTGACGTTATTATTGTCTTATCAGAGTTATCGTATAGATTCCGATTAGCGGCTAATCAATAGCCGATTCCGACAATGTTATGTGTACTGTGTAGTCGTATTTGGTACTTGGTAGGTACTTGACGTTATTATTGTGCGTGTACGTAAAAGTTATACTCGTAAATATTATAAAATGTCCGAGAACAAAAAAATGTAGAAAATATTCCATTGAATATTTGAAATTTGGTTTTATTGTATCTCCGACAAATGAAAAATTACCCTTGTGTCTCTTTTGTGAAAAAAACATTCAGTAATGAAGCTATGAAACCTTCAAGAATAAAAGAGCATCTTATGAAAAAAAAATTCAGATAAAAGTAACAAATGCATACGACCTATACAGCAGCATAGGGCGGGAAAATGTTGTTGACTATTGTCTTGTTTTTATGTAATAAAATTACATATTTTTTTTAAATGTATTTTACCATTACAAGTTTTGAACGGCATATGAGGATTTTGTATTACTTTATTTTTAACAAAGTAATATTCATTTTTTCCCAGGAACTCGTTGATAATGTAGACGATGATGAAGATTATAGTTAATTATAGCTTATTTTGTTTATAAAATTTAGATACTACAATTCTATACATATATCATATATGTTTACTGATAAATTATTATATAATTATTAATGATATAATATCAGTGATAATATATACCGGAGTCTAGGAATATGTTCATTTTTTACAAAGACCTTATACTAATAGACGGAGCAAGGGTGTATTTCGTGTGGTCTTGCAAGCCTGCGCTGCTCTACAGGACCCGGTGAACTACGCACATGCGCAGTAGAATTTGAGGTTGTGTGTGTTTATGGGTGTTTTTTAAAAATGTATTGTATGATAATAACTGTCAACTGATAACAATCATTTAAAACATCAAAGGTCAATACGCTAATATTACTAATATGCATGCATTGACTTTAGTGCAATAATTATTTACATTACATTCACTTATAAGTTGTAAAATAAATTTGTATAATTTTGTATATATTTAAAAATAAAATATCAAGGTATTTATCACCGTTAACTTATTTTACTTAGGTTAGGTATAATATATTTATAATGGTTTTTTTCTTTAAATTTCATTAGTTTAAATGCTGTCCTTAAAACCAAATACTTGTACAGAAAATTTAATTTCATAAATGTATTAATAATGTTTATTTATTATTTGTATACATATAAAAGTTTAATTTATTATGTAAATAATTTGAAAAATTCATATTTAAAATATGCAGTAAAAATTTAAAAAATATGCATTTATTGAAAAAAAATTGGAAATAAGTTTGCATACCACAAAACAAATGTATAACGAATCATATTTATTCTATTTGCTTTCCGAACAAATGTTTTGCAAATTTTAAATTTGCAAATGCATAGTCCCGAGCTCTAATAATTATGTTATAACATTATTATAATAAAATAAATAAATAAACATACTTTATGTCGTCAGAAATGACAACACTGCTAAGAAGATTGCTGTGTCCGCACCACCCAACTCCGCCAACCCTGGATGCTCCGTCTATTAGTTTAAGGTCTATGATTTTATAGAAACTGTCAGATATGGCGTTATTCGTACTTACAGTTTTACCGCGTATATATACGTATATACCTAAGGGTCATAGACGTGCGCAGGATTTTGTGTCGGGTGCATCATACATTTTTAACCGGCCCTAAAGAACAATAAGCGGCTCACTTATTTCCTTTATATAACATCCCCACTCCAGAATTCTTTTTAGCCTCACTGTGTAAAAATTTAATATTTTATAACTTCTTATAATCACCCAGTGTGCACTGGATGTTTCAACACATCCCAAAAAACAAACATATTACGTAGTACAATCAACGTAACTTTTTAATATGTATACAATGTATCTATTCTGTCTAAATAAAACAAACATTTAACACTCATCCCGGCGATATAACTAGGCATTATATGATAGTACAGACCTACAATGTTATAAATTATATGTCACAGGGTTGTTACATTATTGTGATTTGTAATACGTACCAGCAAAATAATATCGATGTTTCAGTTTTTCACAAAAAAAAAAAAAAATATACTATTTTAAAAATACAAGGGGTATCAAATCAATTATTTATAAGAGTAATGTCCGTATGCATACTATTTGATGTGTCATCACGTCATAAGACAGTTTTAGACTACATGTCTTATGTTGATTAAAAAATAAAAGTAACAAAACTTAGTTAAAAATCAGTTACTTATTTTGTCATACATAATGTGCTCGTATGGTAGTAAAGACAGAAAACCATCGATTTCCATTCACTTTAAATATCGTCCATTATAAACCTAATGTCAATATGATTAGGATAGCCGATAGGTAGTAACGCGTAGGATTTAGAGACCCGTCTAGGTAGATATGTCGGCATAGGCGCCGACTACACGGGGGCAACGGGGGCAATTGCCCCTGTACTTTAATTTTAACGTGGGCGTTGCCCCCGTTCTTCGATTTTAATGGGTGGTTAAACGTAGAAACAGCACTTCGCTTTTGTGAAAAAAATTATTTGGTTATTACTTATTATTATAAGCTATTGAATTTCGATATCGATATGAAATTGTTTATCAAAAGGACAAATTAACTAAAAATAGCTGAACATAACTCATAAGATACCACAAATTATAGATAACGTATAAGTACATTTATATATATATATATATATATGTATAATGTATATAGCTCCAATTAGAAATGCCTAATAGTCACGGTAATGACGAAAGACTTGTGTGATAACTATATATGTACTTTATACACATGCACAAACTGAAACTTAATAACAATATCTTTAGTTGGAATTATTTATAACCTATACTATGGTATTTTCATTTCTTCTAAATTATATTGACTATTCTACATTTATACAGTACTGATAACTGAATACTGAGTATTACATTATGTAGTTCAGTAGTTGATCATTTTACTGTCGTTATCCATACGAAGCATACGTTCTTTATTCGCAGATTGAAGTCACTAAGGTAATTTATATTTTCTTTATAGACCATATTATTTAATATATGAGTTAAAAATTATTTAACTTTTGAAGGGCATACCAAATAAGTAATTCAGACACAAAATAATTCATTATGTCTATGTGGAAGTATGTACAAAAAAAAACTATTCCGAAAAACAATTCTGATTCTAATAGCCTTATTAATTCTGATAATAGTTTATCTTCATCTACTTCCACTTCTAACATAAATTTAAATTGTGATAATCAAATTGACTGTGGAAATAATTCGTCCTCTAAAGATGTTTCAAAACAAAGAAAATTTTTAGCATCTTGGTTAAATAAATACGACTGGTTAGAACATAATAAAATCGATGATAAAGCTTTTTGCAAATTGTGTAGATCCATGAGTAATAATAGTAATAATAATGTTTCTGTATTTATTTCCGAGGGTTTTAATAACTGGAAAAAAAGCTGTTGAAAGGTTTAATATGCACGAAAATTCAGAATTGCACAAAACTAATGTAGTTAAAAACTCTTTTATTAAAAGAAATGCAAATATATATGCACAAATATCGGATAGTCATAAAAAGTCTATGGAAGAATCTAGATTAGCTCTTGATAAAATAATATCTTCAGTATTTTTTTTGGCAAAACAAGGCTTAGCATTAAGAGGGCATACAGACGAATCTGCAAATTTAAATCAGTTATTAAAACTTCGATCGGAAGATTCGACTGAATTGAATAACTGGTTAGGTAGAACAAAATATAAGTGGATTTCTCACGATATAATTAATGAAATTCTTAGCATGCTGTCATTAGAAGTCATTAGAAATATTATCAAACAAATTAAAGAAAACACATTTTATGCCATTTTATTAGACGAAACTAGTGATATTACTGTCAAAGAACAAATTTCGTTTTGTTTAAGAACAGTGGACAAAGAATCGTTGGAAATCGAAGAATATTTTATGGGTTTTTACGAAACGCCTAAAACAGATTCTGATACTCTTTTCAAAATTCTGAAAGATATTTTGTGTAGATTGGAATTAGATTTTTATAATATTAGAGGACAATGTTTTGATGGTGCTAGCAATGTTTCTGGAATTCATAAAGGATTACAAGCTAGAATAAAAGAAATTGAACCAAGAGCATTGTTTGTTCACTGTCAAGCTCATTCTTTAAATCTTGTTACCCAAGATAGTATGCGAAATGTAAAAAATGCTAGAGATATACTAAATTTTATAAGAGAATTAATTACATTTATTAAACAATCACCTAAGAGACTATCTTGGTTTAAAACGAATCAAAAAGACGAAAATATGACATCTCTAAGACCATTTTGTCCTACTAGATGGACGTTACGATATGCTTCTCTGTGCTCTGTTATGGATAACTACAATGAGCTATTGACATTTTTGTCAGATTTTTCAAAAACTGAACACAATGATGCAGGTTCAAAGGCAAATGGATTTTTCAAACAATTAAAAACTGCAGATACGTATATAATGCTTAAAATAGTGATAAGTATTTTTAAACACATGGAGACTACAAATACAGTATTGCAAAGTAAATCATTAGATTTTAAACTTTCTGTTCAAATTTTGAATACTTTAGAAGATACTATTTCAAATTTGAGAGATACATTTCACATTTTATGGAAATCTGCAAAGAAAGAATGGTCAGATTTAAAATTAGATGCACCAAAGGAATCTAGAAAACGAAAAAAACCTCAAAAATATGAAGACGGAGTAACGAAGTCCTTTGAATTTTCACCTGAAAGTAAATATAATCAAATATATAAAGAAATCATTGATCATATACTTTCTGGCTTACAACTAAGATTTAACTCTGAAATTCGATCATTTTTATGTAATGTGGAAATGTTTTTAATTGATCCAAAAATATCTCCCGAAATAATATGTACATTTTACAAGGATGATATAAATATTGATAAGCTAAAACTTCATAGAGATATGTTTCATGATATAATTAAAGGCCAAGGATTAATTGTTTCATCATTCGCAGATATATTAAATATTTTTAAAAATAAATCGTATTTAGTCATTCATTTAACAGAGCTCAGGAAATGCATACAATTGATATTAACAGTACCAGTTACTACATGTACTACCGAACGATCTTTTTCTATGTTGAGGAGGTTAAAAACTTATACCAGAAGTACCATGACGCAGACCAGGTTAAATGATCTGGCACTTCTAAATTGCCATAACACAGTAGCAGAATCTTTAGACCTAAGCAAAATAGGAAATATGTTCATAAATAAGTGCATGACAAGAAGAAATACTTTTAAATTGAAAAAAATATAATTTTAGATTGTAAAATTGTCATCATAAAATGTAATGTATTGTAATTAAGTTAGAAAATAAATTGTATTTTCATAATTTCATGTAATTTTTATTTTTATTTTCATTTATCTGAACCCAATAAAGAGAATTGGAATAATATTCATGAACAATAGTATAAATATTTTATTTGCCCCCGTGCTAAAATATAAAAGTCGGCGCCTATGTATGTCGGTGTTCGGAGGTCGATACCCGTATACGAGTTGTGGTATTTTATTATAATTGTTTCCAATTATTAGTAGGTTTCATTGTTTGAATATGACGTTCTAACTATGTTTACAATGTAACCCAAATATAAATTTTTGTTATAAACATTATATTGCAGTTGCAGGTATGTTAGAAATTAACAGATTTAAAACGTTGATGATAAGGTTGCAAACACCGGACATTAGCAGTACCAGGGACATCACATTAACGCAAATTCAACATTCAAATTAATGTTGCATATTATATGGAAACATACCTTGTATGTTTATAGTACACATTATTGCACAGGGGGCACTTTTGTACCCAAATCATGATTTGAACCAGATGATGCTACTGCAAGAACAATTTTTCCACCATATCTTCTTTTGCAAGAAGTAAATTTATCAATAAAGTTTTACCCGTGCCCCCAGGCGCATCTAAAAATAATATTTTACCTTCATTATTGTTAATAGACGACATCACTGAATCATATACAATTTTTTGTTCACTCATCAATTAAACGATTTTCATTTTAAACGGACAGTTATAGTTGATGTTGATCATAATTTCTCTCTCTTAAATACTCAATATTAATTCTTGTCCTATTTATGTTTATCGGTAAAAGAAAACCAAAATGTACTATAGCTTTTCCCGATAAAACTTCCACTTCTTTGTTTAATTCAAATAAAACTTCATCAAATAAACTTTGGTCAAAACTAATATCATTTTATGACAGCCCTTGTCGTTTCCGATGCAGTATATCCTCGGCCATACTTTCGCGATAATTTTGCCAAAACATCAAAGGATCAGTAATTTGACAAAACGTTAGTATGATAGCAAATAAACATCTGAGTGATTTAGGTGTACAACATATAGAAACTTTTGATAGCGTGTTTTCCCAATGAGACCCGTCATCCAATACCAAAGTATTATTAGTTAACCAACTTTGTTGGTAAACCAAACAAAGCGTTGCGTTTTTGCAAAGCGCATGCACCTTGAAAAGTATCATAAATGACATTTTGCACTGTGCGAAGACTTTGAAAAGAAATTGGACCTTTAACTATATGGAGCAGCATCCTCAAGTGAAAACTCTGTATTGTTAGGATGGATTGTGTATACCCTGCCCAGAACATCGGTTTTTTTAACACCAGGGTGCCCTTCCACCACAGTTCCTTGTTTACACCGAATAAACTTTTTACCAACCTGTGATTCCATGTATGTATAGTAACTTGAAATTGTCTTGATTAATTTGGTAAATTTGTATTATCTTAATAATATTAATACGAATATTGGATATACATGTTGGTATACGTGTTGATAAACTTCTTGAAATAACGCCGATATCAAACACAATACAGAAGGTCAGGTTGCAGGTAGCAGGAACCCGTGGGCCGCCGTGCCGCACAATATGTACCTAATATATTTATATATATACAATTACACATTTATTTTAATTAATAATAACTAATTATTTATTAACTTTATCGGATTAAATTTATGCTTAAAACCTTCTCTGTGGTGTCCTCTTCAATTTAAAAAAAAAACTGCTCGATGATCCAATAAGTAGTTTCTGAGTTTATCCCGAACAAAAAAAGCGACTTCATTTTAAATAGTAGTATAAATATAGATAAAGGTATAGAACTATAGATATATTATTAATTTTGTTTTTGGTTAGTTACAAAAATAAAAGATTAAAGAAACAAAGAATAAAATACACATATATATATTACATGATGACAAGAATAATATGAGGAGAAGGCTTTGGTTACTAAAGATGCGAATTCTGTTGATAATGTGTTCTGACGAATACGTCCGAAATCCTCGTCAGAACACAAGATGATTACACTTTGCGGGTTTTCTATTATTCTCACAGTACGTTTCTGCCATCTATCAAAGATGGACGAAGTTGATAAATTTATGTTCTCGAAAGTCCGTTAATGAAGTTATCATTGTTAAATGGTGGAAAAACAGAGCAAGTTAACTAGTTAACTTTCTAGAAGAGAGGAAAAAAATATCTCTGTTGTGGTAATTTTTTTCTCTCACGTCCCACAAACACTTGTTTTCGTACACGAGACTGATGAATTTATCTCAATCCATGATTCAAATAAATTATTATATTAATAAATTGTAAAATATCAAATTTACTAATCTCAATCACGTCAAAATAGACGTAGTTCACACGAAAAAAATCAAACTTTTTTGAACGCTCAACTGTTTCTGACGATATCGTGTATATTCTGACGTGATCTTTACTGCCAATGTAAACACTTTCATTGGAAAATATGTTTTTGTTTTTTTTTTGGACGAATTCGTCAGAACACATTTTCATCAGAATTCGCATCCATAGTAACCATAGCCTAACACGAGTAAAATTTGGCTATCAAGAGCTATCAAAAATATCTAATCATTATTAGATTTTCAAGAAAAACGAGCGATAGAATAGGTAAGTAGTAATAATGATAAATCTTCAACCATTTCCACAATTAGTAGACAACAATTTCTACAACTATAGGCAAGGCCGTATTAAGCACCTATTGGGCCCTGGAGCTGACATGTGAGCCCTTTTGACAAAACATGCTTTACAAAGTTGCTTGCTACGCTCGCAGACCGATACATTTTTTTAACTATTTTACAAATAGTCATTTGCATTATAAAACTAATAGGTATTAAAAATGTATGTCTATAAAACTACTAATTTTAGTATGATAAAAAATGTGTACTCACTGTGCAATAATTTGTCCTAGCAATGTTACTAGGCAGTTTCAATGAAACATGGAACATCGCAATTTTTGTTAATTTTGCGTTAAAGTAACGCCTATGAGACTGTTAATGTATCGCATTGCTGTCTTTCAATTAACGTTCTTTAAACATCACTCTACACATACATTCAACAATCAAATGTAGTACTGTAGTATATTATCAAAAAAAAAAAAGCAAAAATTATTTATCTCCAGAGAGAGATCTGAGGGTGTGATTTGAACTTTGAACCATACATATCTATTGACCTATATGGACCTAACCCTATCAACTTACCTACCTATTTACATTACAAAGATATGTAAAATGAATGTTTATAAGCAATGAAATCAGAAATCCAATAATTTAAAAATATATGAATAATAGCATTAATTATAAATACTTATATATACAATTAATATTTATAAATCATTAGTAGAAATAGTAACATACCTATAATAATAACTATTATTTCAATTTTTTTTTTAGATACCTTCTTTATAAAATTTAATAATTTATTCTACTAAATTTTAAAGACTTGAATTGTATGATTTTTGTCTAAAAAAGCTGATATTATCTAATGGTCCATGAGTAGTTTCAAACAGTGGCGTAATTGTGGGAGGTAAGTGCCCCCCTGACAATTTTTTGAGAGATAAAGATATAATTTTGCCCCCCCAAGATAATCCAACAGTACAAATAGCACCTTTTATTAATAACTCTTATGGGTATTATTTTAACAATATTGGTACCTAGTATCTGTTACCTACAATTTATGTTAATCTAAACCACCAAATGAGTTAAGAGATTCATATAAAATCAAACAATTAAATATACTGTATAAAATACATACAATAAAAATATGTTTTAACTGGTGAGGGAGAGGGGTGTCAGGGTTTTGGTAATAATAAATATATTATATTGCCCCCCCCCTAGATTTTTTCCCAGTTACGCCACTAGTTTCAAACGTAGGAAAGTGATTGAAAATTTATTGAACTTTGAATGTTATACGTAAAAAATTGTGAACCATATAAAAAACCATAATTTGTAAAGAATTTTTTAAGAAACTGTGATGCTTTATCATTATATTTTTGATAAGTTCCAGGACACGCTAAAATTCGAATGAATTCATACAAAATTACAAAATTAAGTATTTATAAATAACCTAATCTAGTATATTTGGATGACAAATTCATTGAATTTTATCTCCTTTTTATTATCATAAACATTAATACTGCCGACGCCCGCGGTGGCTATAATATAGTTGAGTGTTATAAATAAATATCGTTATTTTATAACAAGTATTGCGCCTATCACAGATGTTTCAAATATAACTTAAAACCTTCATCACTGGGACGTTGGAAACATCAAATGTTTAGTGGGTATCGGCTTAAAATTGTTTGAGCCCCTTTCACTTGGTTACTCGAGAGGGCGCCGGGGCTCCGTCCCGGCTAGACCCCCTCTTAATCCGACCTTGACTACAGGCTACAATAATAGGCATTAGCCTATGAAGTGTATAATGTGTTTCGACTTGCACTATTGACAACACCATTTTCGTACCCGGGTTTTATTAGTTTTTATAGTTATATGAAAATAATAAAATTTTATAAATTTTAAAATTATTTCCAAATCTGTTGAACCACATGGTCTAGAAGTCCGAAATCACGAAAAAGAAGAAAGAAAATGTTTCTCCCCATTAGGTACGCCCTTGTTTACGCGAACATTTGGATTATAAGTCAAACTCTGCAACAAGTATTTTACATTTATATATATTGAACTACTATACCACATTTATACATATGTAGTTATATACTACAATATAATAATATACAAATAATAAATTATAATATAATAGTGAATAGTAGTCATATTTTCGGTGACCGTTTCATTATGTCAATAGATATGGCACTATCTATACATGAAAAATAGTTGATATAATAGCAAATAAACATGATTTCAAAAATGTGACCGTCATTATGAAATACGGATATGCATTAATCCAAGAGATTTTGTTATAAATTATAATAGCTAATAGTATGCGTAGGGATATAATAGTTATAAATGTTGTATGTGTAGATATATACACAGTATATATATATAAGTCTAACCTATGTAGGTATACTTAAATATATTATATTTACAATTATAGATAAACTTATGACGTGTTAACTTAGATTCACTACATATGTGTATATGCACAGTGTCGAAGGGTAATAAATTATGAACAGAATATTATAATATTACTGTAACAATAATATTCTTTGTGCGTCCAGTACGTGAACGCACACGGCACGTACTACGTGTGCGTGCGCGTTTGTGATGTATTTTATGCATAATTCAAAACACTAGATTATGTACAATGAATGACATTGTATGCGTGTCGGTTGGTTTGGCGCTCGGTGGGTGGGTTCCTAAAAACTTTTCCACCTCTCGTACGCACATTGGATGCGAGTTTCGTCTGCGACGCAATACCACGATACATCGCGGCGAACCGTTTCCCTCGTTGTTGCGCACGATGACGCCGCCCGACGTAATAATGCATACAGAGTGTATACAAGTGTGCTGCGTTACGTGCATCTTCGTCCGCGCGTAGAAACACGTCGACAACGGAGCACACCGGCGCCACACGTGTTCTTTTTGGTTTAGCTTCAGAAACGCGCACATCGTCACGCGGTATACTTAGGTATGAGTTCAATTGCGAGAAATTTTTTTTCGCGACGGAAAATGTCGGCTAAAACCGGTTTTCACGGACCTTGCCGCTCGAAATGGCCACATGCGATGTGTATCCAATACGTTCGTGTGCGTCTTCTCGTATACGTATCACTTCGTTAACGTCCTTATCGATCGACTATTTTTAGTAAATATATTTCATTCAGCGTACATGGATATGTATGTATAAGTCGGACACTGTTCGATGACGGCAGGTATACCATTAATAATTACAACCGTTACTCGTTGGTATACGTTATATGGTCATAAATCTTTTGCGGATAAGCCACTCACAGGTAGTGTAATGTATTACTCGTTTGGGCGCGTATACGAACGAGCACCATACATCGTCGGGACTTCAGCAGGCAACACGTGGGGTGATATGTGGGACGTGCTGGGGAAAAAATGTCGAACGTGATTAAATTTCAGCGGAACATCAAGAGTGTTATAGAGGACAATAGCGAGAAGGAGGATACAACGCGGTTCGTATAGATGGTTTGTCCCGTCGACCCCTACGTATGCACACCGACATGCGTCCTTACCAAACACAATGTTTAACGTTATATGTATAATACGAACACGCGACAGTCGCACCGCAGCCCCTCCACCGCGGGGTCGTAACACACCGCGCTGACGGACCGTACTACGCGCGTCATTACAACAATAATTACTCCCAGGAATCCCGAACGTATACGCTGCTGGCTCGTCAGTGCTCCTTTATTGGTGCGCCGCCGCCTGGGCGGTGCCCGGTTGGCCGTCACGGGTGATGGAACGGTAGGAAGGAGAAGTGGCGCGCACGCGCTGTGGCCGTGGAAGCCCTGACGGTTCGTCAGTTCAGTACTCCGGCCACCCGCCATTCGTGTGCCGTTCTTTCCGTGCGTCGTTGTTCGTCCGTGAGCTACCGCCGCCTTGACCCCTCCGTCATCGCCACCGCCTGCGTTATAGCATTGTTTGCTGCCGACAACGCCACACAGTACGGCGGCGGTGGGGATCATCGTTCTGCGCGTGCGTGACATATTGCTGCGCGCTCATACGCACCGCTGTTTGGGAGCAATCCAACATTGATCACCGTCGCACCGAAAATTATCCCGTACGCGTTGGTCGTTTTTCCCGTGTGCGGGTGTTATTGCTTGGCGTCGCGCGGCCCAAGTTTCGTTTTTCGCCGTCAACCTCTGCCTTGGACGGCATAAATAATATAAAATAACACTTGTACGTGTCAAACCAGCGCTGTGCAAACGCGAACAATTTATCTTGCATTGCTAGCGTGTGCTGAGGTGAGTTATGCCCGCCGCTCCGGGTTATTATTATTATTTCTTTCTCCTTGTCGTCGTACGCGAAGCATCGTAGTCATGTTGTATAGCTCTTTCAACGCTTTCCATACAATCTTTGTGTTTCGTTACCATAGCACCAAGTGCGCCGCATACACATGTAATTGTATCTGAAATCAGTGTTTCTTAACTGGAGCATACGTAGGTGTTCGGCGAACTAACGGCTAACTTTCCTGATTAGTACATGGATACGCTGATGCGTAGTGCAATAAATCGCGGGGATCGCGATGATAGAAGGTAAATAAAGACGCGCTCACTCGCTGTAAAACGATCATGAACACGGATTTTACTATTGAATTTTCGCGACGATCCGTTTTTGTGATCGCTGTTCATTGTTTAATCCGTGTTCATGATTATTTGTAGCGTACACGCGCGTCATTATTTTCCTTCTGTCTTCGTGAGCCCTGAGATTTGTACGGAAACATTATTATGATAAACAATCAGCAATAACAGATATAACAGATCGTCATTTCTCGGATCATGTTACGTTGACCATAATAATACGATTACGTTGCTCTGTACTACCTACTACCTTGGCCACTCCATCCCCACTGTTGTTGTTTTTGCTAATCATCCACCCTGCGCTCCTATTACTGTAAACATTTCTCGATCTTGTCATATTCTTATTTTCATATAAAATTCATCTAGACGATTTCACAAGGTTCAAGTTCAATGTTGGACATTAATGCATTCACATATCTTTGGCTGTTTAAACGTAGTCTCATGCCAATTCAATATCAAATAGATTGAAGTAAATTTCCACATTCAGGAATTTAATACAATATGCCATTACTAAGAAGTATTATTATTGAATGAAAAAAAATGTCTAATATCTCTTAAATTGAAGTACTTATTACCGCTTTGTTTTCATTTGTATTTGTCCTGACTGTTCAATAGAGTTTTCGTTTATCAAGCTATGGTTCGATGAAAATTTGTTGTGATAATAGAATTATATTATTGCATAAAATTGATACTCTTATTGAGCTGTATCAAGTCCTATTCATAGAAAACAAATTAAATAATTAATGTTGAAATAAGTAACTATCATAGTTAGTGGCGTAAATTGGATTCAATTTCTGGTGGTGCAGAGGTATATTCTCAACTTATAATTTCCAACACACCAATTTTCCAATTTCCTAACTAACATTCTTCCCATTAAACTATATATTTTCCCATATATTTCATTAAATAACAAATACATTTTGAATTATTTTAACATTAAAACCTTTATTATTATAATATTAATAAAAAAAACAATCAAATTTTGTTTTTGGTATGCTGATTTCCTTGGTTCTTGAAAATAATATTATAGGTATACAAATTTCTATGATTTTCTGGTGGTGCAAAAATATATCTTTGCACCACTACATTTTAGATGTATTGTTGCAAGTGCCACATTTGCACCATCCAGTTAATGCCACTGATCATAGTTATTATAATGATATTAATATAAATTATTTTCAATAAACTTGATTAGATGATTGGTTGCATTATCTAGTTATGTACATTATTTTTAATAATATATTAAACAATTAAATTTATTTAGCTTACATGAGCAAGCTCAAAAATGAGTGAGGTATCAACACAACAACAGACTGGAGCTACAGACGTTCAGCAAATGCAGCAGCAACAACAACAACAACAACAACAACAGCAGCAACAGCAACAACAAAATCAACAGCAACAATCTCAACAAAATCAAACCCAACAAATGCAACAGCCACAACAAATACAAGTTATGATTCAACAGCCTCAAAACCAGGTAGACATGCAGCAGCAACAGCCACAAGCACAGCAACAACAGCAACAACCTCAACAAGTAACTGTTGCCAGTGGTCAGCAAACTATTACTATGCAAATGGCTTCAGATGGATCCAATGGAGGTACTGTTCAACTTCCACATTCATCTGCTCCATTGACAACTATTGAGGTATTATTTCTATTGTTTTATATTAACATTTTTTGGCATGGTGGGATGGTATTAATCCCATATAAAAAAAACACCTTTCCGACATAGTGGAACAAATCATTTTCTTCATAAAAATATATTTTTATTTAATTTGGTTTTTTATTTGTATTAAAACTAAATTACCAATTTGGATGTTTTTTTTAATTAATTTCCAAATATTGTACAAAAAAGGTATGTATTTATTTGATTCAGATAATATAAGGGTCCATTATATGTCCTACCATGCAATGAGTGTAAGTTATTTAATACGATTAAACTCATGGTGGGTATAGTAGTTAAGTTTGTTTTACTGTTTATTTATAGTATTGTTTTTTATAAGTAGTATTTGATTAATGTGTATATTTATAATTTATAATATATTTATTTATATAAACATACACATTAATCAAGTACTTCTTACAAAAATAATGCACTAATAATATAATTAAACAGTAAAACAAACTAAACTACTACATCCACCATGATTGTTGTCGTGTAATCTGTATCGTGTATCTGACACTTATTGTGTTATATGCATATAATGGATCCTCATTTTATTCTTCATATTTTAATGTTAAATAAATCTATCTGATCAAAAAAATACATATTTTTTCTGTACAATATTTGGAATTAAATTAAAAAATAAATCCAAATCGGTATATTAGCTTATTCAAATATACACACAGTATATAAATATGTCTCAATTTGTCTAATACTCAAAAATATAATATTTTATATTTACCAAATTATTCTTAGTTTTGTTTCAGTGTGTATTAATTTCAATATATTATTAGGTCTTATTATTTTATTATTTATTTATATTATTTAATATGTTTTGTCACATATATTATATAATATGCAAAAGAAGAAATTAAAATTATTGGAGTCCAATATGTTATACCTACAATAACCTGAAGAATGTTATATGCACAATGTGTATGGTAAAATTAATGTAATCCTACATGTTAAAACTTATATCAATGAAAATTAAAATTAAAAAAACAACTGTCCGAGCAACTTAGGTCTACAAAAATCCCAAAACCCTTAGTATGAAAGAATTCTTTGTATTGATTATAATAATAAAAATTTCATTTTTAGACGTCTGGTCAAATGCAAATTTCATCTATTCAACCTCAGCAACAGCAACAGGGTCAAGTGCAAATGACTAATATTCAAACTCAGCAGCAAGGCCAGGTTCAACAGCAACATACCATGCAAGCACAAAATAATCAACAACAGCAGCAACAGCAACAAACGCAAATTCAACAGATTAATGATTGGAGTCATGGACGTGTTCAGTTAATTCAGCAGGCTAGTCCACAGTTTGTACAGTACAATGCTCAGGGCCAACTAATTATGCCTGGGACAATGTTACAACATCCTACTTCAGGCGCTATTCAGGTGATTGCAGCTCCAAATAAACAATTCCAGTCACAACAGATGCTCACCACAGCTCATGCACATAAACAGGTAATATCACAAGGACAAGCAGCTTCGTTTCCGACTGGATATGCTGCTATACCAACCACTACTAACCAGACTCTTGTCATTGGCCAATTAGGGGTGATAAGTAGTCAGCCAAATATGAAACAAAATGAAATGCAACAAACAGTACGTACTATAGACTTTTTTAATATTTTGTTTTATTTGGAAAACATTTTTTAGTACACTAGTTGTGCTACTGGAAGGGCAGTACAACAAAATGCTCAAACTATGCAATTTTCACCCTGGCAATTTAATGCATCACTTCCTCAAGGAATCACCTGGGCTACTCCACAGCCTCAAGCATTATTAACTACACAGAATCATCCAATCTTTATACGAGGTCAGTAAATTACTTAGATATAAATAATGGTTGTAGTAATTAATAAATTATAACTACTAATAATATATAAAAGATACATATTTTTTTTAGGAAAGGATAATTTTTCTTTCATTTTCTCCATATAATGTCTGGTGAATTATAATCTCATTTGGTATTTTACTATTGTTTGTTTGTCTGGCTGTGCATTTCTTCTATTTATGTATTATTTACATGTTCTGTATTATATATGAACAAAAATATACTGATATTGATTACAATTATAACTAGTCTTTACTAGTCTTAATTATAAATACTTGCCTGTACAAATTCAGTTTAACAAATATAATCAAACTATGTGTAGCAATAGTCTTATTTTCTTGGTAGTCATTGTATATTATACAAACTATAATAATCTTTAAAAAAATAGTACTAAAAATTGTAAACAAGTACAAGCATAAATGACATAAGGAATGAGGTAGCCCAAGAAATTGAAACAGATTGGCAAAATATAGCATATGATAGAGATAAATGTGTGAAGAATTTTGGTGGTAAAGTTCCTTTATAGAACTTAGAGCCACAGAAAAGAAAAATTGTTTTTTTTTTAACTAATTAAATAATACAATTTTTTTTTTTTACAGGCGGACCTCAGCAAGATGGTCAACAACAACAAGTACAAACTCCCATGTTTATACAGAGTCCTCCTCCTCAGCATCTACAACAGCATCATGGTCAAACTATGGTACAAACCAGTGGTGGTGTTATGCAAAATATTGGGCAAATGGTTAGTGGTACTACTACTACTACTATTAAATCACAGCGTGCTGATATACAACCAAAAGTAGTTGCAACTCCTACAGGTATGGGAAATAATAGACAACTATCAATACTACCATCAGGACATACAATTCGTCCTAATGCTACAATTTCCACACAAACCACTACTGGTATACAGCACTTAAATCAAATGCAAAAAGCTCAACTTAAAGTCAGACCCAAAACTGGTGTTCGTCAAAGTTTTAATATAGCCCCACATAAATCAGATGCTGCTAATCAGACCAATCAATCAAAACCTCAACAGTCTTCTCAGCAAACATTAAATACTAATAAGTAATTATTAAAAATTTTTTATAATATATACTAAATATGATATAAATACTAAACAATTTGTTGTTTCAGAATGATTTTGACAAGTTCTGGTCAACTTGTTCCTCAAATTCAACAACAACAACAACAAACTGTACAAGTACAGCATTTGCAACAACAACAACAAGCTCAACAACAAATTAAATTAGTTAGTATGCAATCCCCAAATCATCAAATTGTAAGTATGCAGTCTCCCCAAGTTGCATATCAGCAACAGCAAATTATCAAACCTACTACAAGTGTTATGAGTATGTCCATGAATTCTCCACAAAAGATACATATACATCAACTGCAACAAGGCCAAGCTATTGTTAGCCAGCCTCAACAACAAATTACTATCCTTGATCGTCCTGTGATACCTGTTGTTTCATGTGCTCCTCAGGCATTAACACCAGCTCAAATTCCAATTTCACCTCCAGCTCAAACAACAGTATCGTCCATGCCTCCATTAATTAAATCTGGAGATTCTCCTAAAGATTCGACCACTGCACAAACTCAAGAAGCAGTGGCAATTTCAACTATAGAGACTGCTACAGAAACAACATCTTCTGTTTCATTACCAGTTACTTCTAATGAAGACAATACTAGAGATAAAGGATTGCCTAAAGCTTTAGTGAAACCGCAAGTTTTAACCCATGTTATTGAAGGTTTTGTTATACATGAAGCTGACCAACCATTCCCTGTGAATCGATCATGTACTACAACTGATTTGTCAAATATTATACAAAATAAGGAAAATATTAAAATGGATGAAGAGCCTCCAAGTAAAAATTATACTTTATGTGTTTTTAAACAAATCTCACGTAATTTTTTAATAATATTATGTTTTTTATTATTTTACAGACAAAAAGATTAAATCTGATATGAATATTCAAGAAAAAATTAAGTGTGACTTTTGTGGGAAATGTCAAGAACTACAGAAATTTAAAATTAAAAAGAAATCGAAACGTTTTTGTTCACAAGAATGTTCTAAAATGTTCGAAAATAATTCAAAAAATGGTCAAACTGATAAAAAAAATGGAAAAAATTGGGTATGCATTTTAAAATTTCATGAGTTTGTTTTTACTTGCATTGTTATAAGCGTGTGTTAACATTTTAACTAGGAATGTGAAAGCAATGGTTCAGCTGGTGATTCCAGTAATACCAGTTCATCAGTTGATTTACCCAATCGAATGCAAGTAGATACTGATTCCAAGATTGATATAGTTCCAGAATTGGCTCCTATTAATCCACTGACATGGACGGTAAATTTTAATTGTAATTCTATATTTTTCATCCTAAATTAACACTCATACAATTTTTAGGTAAAAGATGTGCGTAAATTTATTGGTCAACTAACGGACAGTGAAGAAATAGCTGCAGATTTTGAAAGCCACGAAATTGATGGTCAAGCTCTGATGTTGCTCAAAGAAGATCATTTGATAAGAGATATGTCTATGAAACTTGGACCAGCATTGAAAATATTTGCAAAACTAGATGCTATGCGTACAGAAAATCCAGAACTTCAACCACCAGCAACTTCTCAATAAAAGACTGTTTCATGTACACTCAATTGTTTTAATAAGTATAATTTTTTACTTGGATGATAAAATAACTGATTGTTTTGTTTTAAATTATGTACACCCAAATAGTACATATTGACCCTAAGACTTCTTAAAACCATGTCATTATAAGATACCTAATTTAATTTGTTATTTCTTATAGGTTTTTACATTAAAATTAAAATATTTTTTCTTTTAATAGTATTATCGAATATAATTTCTTTCGTAAGATTGCTATCTTCTATAATTTTTGCTAATCAAAAATAATACACTCTAATAATATTTACCTTTTTGTACCTTATATTTTACTATTTTTGCGACTGTTTATTAATATTAATTTAAATTATATTTTAGTCACATTTATTTATAAATGTGTACTTTAATATTTATATTACTGATTACTGATGTAAATTTATACTTGCCTGTATAATTTTGGATTGGGACTGGTTCCTATGTTTTTATATTAGAAGTTTTATTTTCATATAATTCCCCTTGGGTTCTATTAAAAGTACATAGGTTTAAAATGTATATACAACTAAATTGTATTCTATCAAAAATGGAACCCTTTAACTAGCATTTTAATGATAAATTTTTTTATTCAAATCAATTATGCTTTATATATATGTTCATATATTTTCTCAAAACTAGCATTTTACTATTTTTAATTTAGTATAATTTATAATCTTATTATATAAATTTATAATTATTAAATTTGTTGATTTCTACGATTGTGTTTGCTTTGAACAAACTTCTTAATATAAAATATTAATGTGCTCTATTACTTATTTAAAATTGTATTTTATTCATTTAAAATAAAACTCATTTAAGTATTTAATTATTAAATTTTTTCTTAGTAATAAATACAAACCTAAATGTTAGATGTTGTGTTCATTTTACTTTAATTTTAAGTTAATTATTGGGAATATTTTTTATAGTATAATAAATATTTTAAATTGAGATTTTAATTTTATTTTGTGTTTATTAAATATATTCCTGCCCACAGATAGTTTAAGTTTTATAAAATAAGATGTACATCAACATCGACATAAATATGTGGTTTTTACATATTTTACCCATAGAATATAAATGCATGTAAAATACCCATAAAACTTTTGCTAATAAACTGAACACATTAGATTTACTGTGTACATAACAAATATATCTATATATTTTTTTTTTTTTATAGTAAATATTTTATAGGAAGTATTTCAAATACACAACAGTACGCAGACATTCTGGCAGGGTGGTCATACATTAACAATTAATATTAACTACAAATTTGGATGGGGTATCTTAATTTTTCCAATATTTTTATACATGTATTTACCTTATACAAATGTTTCGAAGTGGTTGAACATTATATGGTTATTTATTATTGTGATAATATTGAATATTTAGGTGAGGGAAGGTTCACAGAGTAATCAAATACCTTTAAAAGTCCATATACAAACTGCGGCAAGAAAAAATTTAACTTAATACAATCTGCGACATAACCAATAAGATACATTACACAAGCAGTGGCAATTTAATTGATGTACACCTACAATATTATATACTATAAAATACCTAAAATCATATATGTATACCTATGTGCATATATTGTTTGATTAATTATGTTATGTTGCGTCTTGCACATTCCCATGTTTTATTAACACTTATTTTTTATTCATATTAAAATTTGAACTTAGAATTATTGACCCTATAAATGCTATTCTGGCAAAACATAATTGAAAATTTCATCACGTTCAGTGGCGTAGCCAAGGGGGGGGCTAAGGGGGCTATAGCCTCCCCCATGGGCCGTGTTTATATGTATAATGTATCTTGACTATTTAATAGAATCAATGCTTGTTTTAATCAAAGGCTTATTGATGTTATGCCACTTGAAGGACTTATTCCGGCCAATTTAAATATGTATGACGATAAAAATATAATAAAAGCTGCTAAAATATATGTCCAAGATCTCCATGGTAATACCTCATCTACAATCAGATCTGATTTATTCATACGGAGGCAAC